TTCTAACTATCAAGGTTCTAGGTTTGCACTGGGTTGTCGCAGCTCCAGTACCGGGAGGCTGTGGAGAAAAGTAGCTCTGAGTCACCACTTTTACGTCAATAGTGATAGCTCCTTTAAGCTTAAGCCCTAAAGAAGAAGCCCTTCAAGGTAGTTTGCGTAATAACCGCCACCATCGTTTTCCGTGTTCCAGCATGCCTGCGGCGTGTTACTCGGTCAAGTCGGGTAGGCTCAGCGGTCATCCAGGTTCATAAGAAGGATACTGTCCCTGCTCTGTAAGCAGTTGGACAAAATATGTATTATATATAATTATATTATATTATATTATATTATATTATATTATATTATATTATATTATATTATATTATATTATATTATATTATATTATATTATATTATATTATATTATATTATATTATATTATATTATATTATATTATATTATATATGTTATATTATATATGTTATATTATATATACATATATGCATACATATAAATATATTGGCATTATATGTATCAGATGACCACTAATCACGGTGGGCCCGAGGTGGGGGCAGGACCCAAATAGGATTTGTATAACGTGAGAACGGTATCCTGGATCGCATTACCCGACTCAGGCCCTGGCCCCTCAGGTGCCAGGCCTTAATTCTCAGATAGTGACGGGGGAACTTCCTCATATATTAGCTCTATCTTAGAAAGTTTGAGCTTTTTGGGGCCCGGTTGTTGAAGAAGAGAGAATTGGACACGTGCTGCACCATCTCTGGATATCCAGAACCCATATGTGAAATTGTTGCTTAAGGACATGTTCCTCAAAGGACCCACTATGAAACTGTGAAATTCTGCTTGGTTACTTCAAAGTCTAGATCTAAAAGGTCATCCCCGAGTAGGAGGGTTTTCTCACAGCCTGCTCTATGTCAAAGCCTCATGGTGCAAGCCGGCTTTGCAAAAGCAATGTTCTCAGCACTTTGCCTTTGTATGCACTTGATTTCTTATTCTTCGAAGAGCAATCGTGGCAACGCGCTCTAGGATAAGGCTCCCGACCTCTCCTCTCGCAGAACCTGTCAGTTCAAGTCCCGAAAACCCCTGAATGGTGGGGAGTTTATCTACAGCCCATGCCTTTCAGAGTGGACGCCCAAAAAGTTGGAACCCCAATAGCCTCAATCCTTAAGAGTCAGCCAGCTTCGACCAGAGCCTTTGCCGAGACTAGCAACACATGGAAACTTCCGAAGATAGGGGACCTTACTATAGTACCCTACATCATGAATCCTTATTATAAGGACCCCAAAATGAGTCACCCTTAATTTTCGGAAACAAGCGCCTGCCTACGCAGGAACTGGGAAGTCCTTTCTCCTTGACTTGATGCTGTTGGAGACCTACGGGCTTCAGGGTTCCCAGAGAACTCAATGCCCAATTAAGGAATATGTACCTTAAGTTTTAGGGGCCTGAGTATTATCATCAAGGTATATTGGGATCTCTGGGTTGTGGCCGAACAGGGTTTGGGTTGGAAGTTGGAAGGTCCAGGTTTAGATTCTGGCATCGTGCCAGTGGGCATACGCAGTTGGGCTTGGGATTCGCGAACCTTGCTGTAGGAGTGAGAGTTTGGAGATTCCGGCATGTCGCACAAAGGGTTAGGGGTCCGATGGTCCCGGTCTTGCTTCAGAGTACAGGACTCTGTTTGTGACAACAGCTGCATGGCGTGCGTTTCCTTGCAAGCCTCGAGTGATCATGACGGCTCATGGCTTGAATCTGCAGGCTTCGAAACCCAAGGGTGCTTTTGAAGAATCGACTACACGATACCACATGACTGGTTCGTGACAAGCTGCCCTGCGGGCCACATTCCAAGAAGCTGCATGCTCTCAACAGTCTGCCCGTACGTGCACAGCAAACCGTCCTGGAAGCCCAAAACCGCAACCTAGACCCTCAAAAGCAGGTAAAAGAATGGCCCTAAAACCTATAAAAGGCTATTTCCTATTCTACATACTTTTGGGGTCCAGGAACTCCCACACTCCTCATAAGCCGTAAGCTCGACAGCATCAGGCGCTATCTCCGGGAGAAGCATCCTGCAGGAGGAGCTCCCCCTACAATCTCCAAGCAGGCGGCTTGTCCTTCACTTGAGGTGGGAAAGACATTTCACCGTTCCCGTAGCTCTAGCAGTGCTTTTTTGGGGGGGTTATCCTAGCGGTATTTTGTAAATCGCAGTGAAGGATTTTTTTGCTTTAAGCTCTAAACCTCGAGCCGCAAACGAACCCTATACCTTAGGTACGACCCCCACTCAGTAATAGTTGAATAATATTCATAATATAGATATATTAGGACCATAATAGTAGCCCTATTATAGACTCTTACTGTATGGGGGCCGTACCCAACCTATACCGTATAAGCTCGAAAGGATTTAAACTTGATGTTTAGCGGGTCAGGACTATGTCTTTCGGGCCCTGGAGGCCTTGTACGGTTTGAGGCTTACCTAAAGTAATGTAGCGACCGTAACAATGCGAATAGGGTTTTGAAATATCTTGCATATTCTTTATTACGGAGCCCCGCCTCCAAATAGTATTGATAACTGGTTCGGCCCCTACATTACCTTGAAGGGTTTAGGAGTTGAAAAAAGTGATATGACCTTAAGATTTTGGTTCACGTACCTTTTTAAGGTACCTCGGGTATTCGAGGTAGGCCAAGCTGCGGGTCTCTTATTCGGGCCCGGCTGAAAGTCCGGATCCCACAGTTTCGGGCTTTACGAGGCCCTTCATCACCAAATCGTGCGTTGCATGATTAGCAGAAGCTTTAGCACCCCTCCCCCCCACCCCATGACAAGAACCAATACAGTAATCAATGACGGATATTAAATTACATTTTAGGGTCCAGCTTGTTTGGAGCACCATTCTTAATACTGCTGACCAGAAACCCAAGCTAAGGCCAAACCACAAGCCATGATTCCCCAAACTTCAAACCTAAGTCCCGAACTGTAAGTTCCGAACCCCATGCCCGGCCCGAGAAACATCATATAAACCCTAAACTCCAGAGCCTAAAGACCGAAACCTTACAACCTGCAATGCGGGCTCGTCCTAACTATATGGGAGGCAAACAGACCTTACATCCTAAACCATATGAACCAAAGCCTGAATCCTAAACTCCAAACCCTGAACGCTAAGCCCTAGCGCCAACGCTCTAGCATGTACAGGACTGTGAGATTCCAGAGTGGGCCGGGCTCTGAGTGTGGTGTGTGTGTGTGTGTGTGTGTGTGTGTCTGTGTGTGTCTGTGTGTGTCTGTGTGTGTCTGTGTGTGTCCGTGTGTGTCTGTGTGTGTCTCTGTGTGTGTCTCTGTGTGTGTCTGTGCGTGTCTGTGCGTGTCTGTGCGTGTCTGTGCGTGTCTGTGCGTGTCTGTGTCTGTGTGTGTGTGTGTCTCTGTCTCTGTCTCTGTCTCTGTCTCTGTCTTTGTCTCTGTCTGTCTGTCTGTCTGTCTGTCTGTCGGTCTGTCTGTCTGTCTGTCTGTCTGTCTGTCTGTCTGTCTGTCTGGTTGTCTGGTTGTCTGTCTTTGTGTCTGTGTTTGCGGTTCACCAGACTGTGGAGATAGAGGTTTCAGTGCTTAGCTTTGCCGGTTTTCAGGTATGATGCAACATTCAGGACTCAGGATTCATAGCGCCAAGGCTTAGGCGCGAGGTTGCGGGTTGCAGCTTCGCAGGACAGCGCGTCTTCCGGACAAGGATTTCGTCCCAACGGCATTCGGAGCTTGTTCTGACGTGTGTTGTTGTCGATTCGTGTTTTAGTGTTCTGGTCTGCTGAATTCGACACAGTCGATCCCGATTTGTCAACTATGCCTGTAGCCCTAAGCCCTTCAGTTTTACATGTTTCGTGAGAGTGTATAGAGTCAGACAGAACGATCCCGAGAGAGAGAGAGAGAGAGCCAGAGCCAGAGAGCGCGCATCACATTTACCACGATAAGTTAGTTCGTAGCCACGTGCAGCTGCCAGCAGGTGCTTTCGGGGCTTCGGTTCTCCTGAGACTCCCTTCCGCGCTGACTGGGGATTGCATGATGTCCCTTGCCACTTGCACTGCTGGGTGCTTGTGAGGTTTGAGAGAGGGAGCGAGAGAGTCACAACAGAAGCCAAGGCAAGCCATAAAACTTCGGTAAACCCTGAGGGTATCGTCACAGGTGCACAGTGGATGGTTCTCATGCAAAAGTCGAGGTAGGTGTTTCGGGAGCGGCCGTTCTGAGTACCCTCAGTATAGCAACGAGGATAAACAACACAAGCCCCAAACCGCGGCGTCACACCAAGAATGATTTGACCAAGTACTGTACGTCTTACTTGGTTTTACCGTAGTATTATTATCATTATTATTAGGAGTAGTAGTATTAATATTACTAGTAGCATTGTTGTTTCTTCGTCTTGGGTTCTAGTCGGACCCGGCTCAGGTGCTGGAACGGGGAGTCCCTGATTGGGCTGTGAACTGTGGCGGCAGCCTCCTGGAAGGCGGCTGAACCTTACTGCTACCAGGGGTTAGGGGGTTTAGGGTGTAGGGTTTATAGGGGTTTATTATGTCTTGTGTGTTTGCTCTTTCTTCAGGGTACCCGGCAGTCGCAATAGGCCTGGATGCAAAAAGGGCAGCTAAGGGCGCAGGGTTTAGCAGTTCAATGCGGTTTAGAGATCAGGGTTTTAGGGTTAGAGGTTATAGGGTTTGGGGGTTTATAGGACATGATCCCATTTTGGGGTTCGGGGCTTAGATGTCCACTTCTCTGCCTTTGACGTGGATGCCCAACTTTTACTGACGAGGCTGGGGGGATCAAAAGCAGCGCAAGGTTACGGGTTCGGTCCGGGGTGTCGGGATCCGAGTCGGAGGAGATGCTGTGGATCAGGAAACGATGACCCGACCACAAAGTAGGCCGCAGGCCCGGAGACCCACTTTGACCCACAAGACCCTACAAGAAAGACGGACGACGATGCAGGCTCAGTCAGGTTGCTGCAGTTGAGTTTTGCCTGTCTGCTCTAGGAGTTGGACTCCAAAGCCATGGGTGTCCATGGGCTCTACACGCAAGTGACCGAGCAGCAGAGCCTTTGGCGAATTCTGAGGGAGCAGGAGCTGCCATTGCTGGTGGTCGATGCCGGCTCGTTTCGATACGAGATGTGCCGGCATTTTTTCTTCGGCACCCGCCACGGCGGAGACTACTTCAGCCTGAAGCTTGCATTGGAGACCTTCCTCCGTCGCTTCCTGGGCTGGGGTTGGGAGATGGTCTTCGTCTTCGATGGGGTTCCAACGAAGTGGAAGGACCAGACCTGGCAGAAGAGGACTGAGGCAGACATCGCCCGAGCGGACCGGGACAGCCGCGGAGTGGGCGACTGGGACGACTGTTTGCCACCCATCCTGTCCGGAGCAGTTCTGTCCGCGGCACTGGCCAGACTCGGGATCGAGGCTCTCCAGGCCGATGGCGATGCTGATGGGGTCGTTGCGTCCGTGGCTAGGGAGCGACAGGGCATGGTGGTCTCGCGCGACTCGGACTTGATGTTGATGAGATCTCGGGGCTACATCGATATGCCACAGTTTTTCCAGTTCGGCTTGGAGAACGAGGATGCCTTGTTGGTGTTGGAGCCGCTCAGGCTTTGGCAACACCTCGGCATCACCCAGGCCGAGGTACCTTTGTTCGCCACTCTCTGCGGGAACGACTTTGTGCCCTTCGATCAGATGCGACCATGGCTACAGACGCTCCGCAAGGATAGTGCCAGCACGGGGAAGCACGCTACGAATTTTTCCGGGGTAGTGGATTTCCTCCACGGGTGTCAGCAGAAGTCCGAAGACTTGCTCACCGCCGCCAAGCGCATCGTGCCCGAAAGCCTCCACCTCCATTTTGCTTACAGTGTCACAGACTTTTACGACCATTGCTACGAGGAGTGGGCCCAAGAGCCGGGAGCCCTAAGCTCCGGACCCCACGTCCCGCACCCGAGTGGAAGCCAGTGCATTGTCCTAAATCCTGCAAAACAATTCGAGTCCCAAACCCCAACCCAAAAAAAGAATCAATCTTCATCCCGAATCCCAAGCTCCGACGAGGAGGATGAATCCAAGCTGCTTCTGGACGGCATGCCGCTGTCCGACGCTCCGCTCGCCATGTGGCGTCGGCGCGAGCTCTCAGGGGCGATGCTGGCGGCTGCGAACCGCGGCTACCTGGCCCTCCCTGCCATGGTAGAGGAAGGCCTCAGCTTGAATGTAGGGGTCGAACCAACAACCAACATTCTTCCCTTATTCCTCAGGGTTCCTGATTAGTTTTTTGATGCGTATAATGTAAACCTCAGACCCCTATTCTAATTTCCAATTCCCCTGTATTCCCTTTCGCCACCCAAGCAGCTCCAGCAGTAAAGGCGGACAGGAATCAGCGAAGACACAGATGATTATAAGAATGTATTCATAAATGTGGGCATATAGTTATATAAATATATATATATATATATATATATATATATGTGTGTGTATACATATGTGTGTATGTGTGTATACATATATATATATATATATATGTATTTATGTGCACATATATAACCCTGTAAGACCCAACCTCGACAGGGAAGGCACCGAGCAGCTGGCTGCTCTCCCGGCCGCTGCGGGCCGCCGCGGTGAAGCTCCTCCCCGGGCCGGTGGTGGAGCGCCTGAGGAAGAGCTGCGGCTTGAAGGTCGGCAGTTGGAAGTTGAGGGGGATGTTGAATAATAGACTACATGTATCTACATAGACAGATAGACGGATATGTAGATAGAGGTAGGAGGTGTGTGTGTGTGTGTGCGTGTGTGTTTTATTGTCTCTCTCCCTCTCTCTCTGTTTTTAAATCTAAATATATATACATATATATATATATATATATATCTGTTCAGCTATCTAAATATCCAAATATCTATCCGCCCATCTTTGTATCTATCTGTATAGACATACATGTATACATGCACATATTTACTACATATACACACACATACATACGTACATACATACATACATAAATACTTACTTACGTACTTACTTACTTACTTACTAATGCGTGGCATACATATCTCTGTATATATATATATATATATGCAGAAAACAACACACTACAGGCCATATATACATATATACATTTATACATATACACATATATACACAGAGAGAGTACACGCACTTACATGCTTACGCGTATGCTTTACATACATGTACACATCTCAGCACACATACATATACCCACATGCATCGGCACAGACATAGACAGAGACATATACACATGTTACACACATGGAAGGCACTTACTTGTACATACGTATGTGTATATACATATATATATATATATATATGTTCATCGTTCAGTAGCATGGCACTGTAGGGGTCGATAATCTGATCTCTGGAGGTCGAAGAGGCCGCTCTCGAGACGTGCGCGCTGGAGCCTCCTTTCAAGTGGCCTTACGGCTTGGAGGGTGCGAGCCTTGAAGCCCGACGGCAGTTCTTCAGGGAGGCCGTGGATTGGCCTCGCTTGGAGGAGGACTGTGGCGAGGCGCCTCCACGAACTGTGCTTCCTTTGGCCTGTTTGCGGTTCCTGGTCCTCAGCAATGCAGACCAGACCCCTCCCCCCTTGGACATCCCCTGGCCATATCTCGGGGTGCTGCTGCTGCAGCTAGCACTGTCTCCCAAAAAGCAGCAGGAAATGGTGGCAGATCTGAGAGTCCAGTCGACCAAGGCCTATTGCCCAGCAGCGGTGTCCTTTCTCAACACCTACCTGGGCGCGCTCTGGTCGGTGTCTCTGCTGAACGAGGCACTGGGCAGGCCTTATGAAGCTTTAGATGTGATAGCTGCTTACAACGGCCCCTTCCTGCACGCCATGATCCGAAGCCTGCACGCCGGATCCTCAGACCACCGGTTCTTCAGCACCGACGACCAGGAGCGCGTGGTGCTGCGCTTGTCGGATGTTCCCCAGGAAGATCTGATCGGTCGCTTGTTGCCCATCTTCAGTTTGGGCGTGGTGGAGGAGGTGGGGAAGAAGGCCTTCTCAGGCAAGGTGAGCGGGAAAAAGCTGAAGTTCACCATGCCTTGCAGCGCAGCAAAGCCGAAGCCTGAGCGGAAGTCCTCGAAACCCTCGAAACCTTCGAACGCCTTTGAGGCTTTGCGCTCGTGAGCCCTCCAATCATGTGTACTGGTTACTGCGCTTGCGACAGGCAGAAGCATCAGGGCTTCTGTTGTTCAGAGGCCACGCGGTGCTCCATCCTGTGTCTTTCAATCCAGTTGTATCTTTGGTTCCATGTCCGATGACGTGTACAGTGTAAGCCATGTTGTATATAGCAGTGTAGTACTTCTTTCGAGTTACAGTAGGTGTTCTACTGCTTTCATAGTGGGGAAAGGGGACCGACATGACTGCAAACTCAGTCTTGTCATGGAGTGCGCGCGCCCGCCATTCGTGGTGGCGATCACTCCTTTCAGGTTGTTCTTAGAACAAGGCTTACGTCGAAAGATGCCTCTGGTGCACAAGATGCACCACGCTTCTATGCTTGCCTAACCGTTCTGACGCTTGGTGGACTCACTGCGTGCAGAGCGCAAAGATGATGAATGTGGTTCTTGGACGTGACTTGGAGGTTCATGGGACTTAGTATGTACACTTACAAGTGCCTTAACTGGGGATATAAAAACTCTAGTTACTAAGCACCAAAGCACCATGAACCTCTAAGAACGGTTCTTCTTTCAGATACCGGTGCCTGCAGGTCAGCAAGAGTCCGTCAGGGTCGGTATGGTGTCAGAGCTTCAGGTCCCTCACCTTGAGCCTCGACTCTGAACCCACAGCCCCGAACCCCTAAACCCCTAAACCCTAAACCCCTAAAACCTCTAAACCCTAAGCCCTAAACCCCTAAACCCTAAACCCCTAAACTTTAAACCCCTGGCCCCTAAACCCCTAAACCCTAAACCCTGAAACTCTTAAATCCGCCCAAAACCCCAAGCCCAGACTCGGATCACTTCAGGGCGCGAGGGCATCGATGAAAGCTTGGAAGGATTTATCTGGCGCCCTGGCATGGAGAAGTGTACGGAGGCGCGGGCTGATGCTAAACCCTACGGCTCCATGTGCCCAGAAAGTCTATAGTAGGTACTTAGGCCTTAAAGGGATCCCTATATGGGTACTTTAAGGCCTAAGTACCTACTATATGGGTGCATGGAGCCTTTGGGAAAGCTGCTTTACAGCAAGGTTCCTGTCCAGGGTTCTTTTATTGTAAGGGCTCCTTTAGTGGATTCCTGTTTAAAGGGCTCCTTTTCAAGGATTCCTTTTTTGAGCAGGGGTTCGACAAGGTTAGCTTTAGGGTTTAGATCATGTTTTACAAGGTCAAGAGCTTACAGAACGGTTCCAATAATCGTGCTTTGTAAGGGTAGCTTGTTCGGGGTTCCTTCCCGACGGGTAAGGTTATGCTTTGCAGGGTTTTGTGTTCAGGATGAAGGGTTTAGGGTTTAGGGTGCAGGCTTGTAGGGTCTGATTCAGAGCTTTGGGTTCAGCGGTTTTGGGCTTCGGGGTTGATGCTCCTGTGGGGGTGAATACTTCTTAAAGGGTGTCCGTAATCTATATTTATATTCAGGTCAACTGCTCGGCCTATGTTGGCTCCTCTTTGTCTTGAGCAATCAATCGGGGCAATCTGGGCTTGTGGTAGGGTTTCGTCCTTGCGTGTCTGCCGTTCAGGATTTGACCTAAACCTTACAGTCCCTACACCCTAAACAGCCAGGGTGGGGGTGCTCTGAGGGTTACGTCGGTTTAGTTGGGAAATGTTCTGGAGGCTTGGCATATGGTTTTGTTTGTTCCCGATCTCGGGATTTCAATCGTAGCCGCAGTTGGAAAGGGGCATCAGCATAAACTAAACCGTTTGAGGTTTGGTGTTTCGGGTTGGGGCTTTGTAGGGTCTTACGGGATTCTGTCTGGGCTTGCTGGGGTTCAGGGGTTTAAGGGTCTTTTTGTTCAGGATTTAGGTTTTAGGGGCGAGCCTGGAAGTACGGGAATACTGTGGATCTCATGCGGCCGCAGAGCACGTGGCGCACAGTCACAGGTCCGGCTACTGCAGGGCTTTAAACATTTACCAGTTCTTTTTCCCGTACGGGGGTTCCCTAGTTGGGTATAATTATCGATACTTGTCGTATGTCTAATGTACCCCATCAAGCCCTGTTCTAGTGACTATGGCCCCTATAAACTATGTTTGACTATATTATCCCCCATGAGGGGAGAGCCAGAATCCGTAGCCCTGATCAAGGTTCCCGAGATCACGATGAGAAGCCCTCACGAAGGGAACTCTGGTGAAAACAACCTTACAAAGAATGAAGGGGCATCCTTGAACCCGAGAAACACCTGGCGCAGGGCATCTGGATTTGGTCTGAGGTTTTCGTGTGCAAGGCCGACGACGAGGTGGGAATGGCAAAGATAGTAAGTTGCGACCCTGTTGAAGTTGGGGTTTAAGGTTTGGGATAAGGTACGACCCGCAACACAATAATGTAGACGCCTCCCAGGATCTGGGCCCCCAAATGTAGTATTTTCTTTTCGTAAACTTAGCTCCTGTTAGATGAGATCGAAACCGCAGAATATGTTTTCCAACACAAACATACTCGGTCAAGGAGCCATCAGTTCCTGTAGAAACTGCGAGCACTATAGCTATACTATAGAGGTCGGACGGATTGCTCAGAGTTTCCCCTTGTAGTTCCCTCAGAAGTCCCCATGTCTCGAAACCGCATCTATAAACCCGAATGAAGGGAACACTCGTCTAGCAACGAGTGCCCACAAGATTACCTGCTACTAGTACGGATCCCCGCACCCCCTTCCAAACATCGGCAAGAATAAGCGCAGAGTCAGGGCAGTCTGAAGCACTCATCCCTCTATGATCCTGTGCACAGCGGTAGTGGACAATAGACGCCCTAAACCCTAAACCGTTCCCACAGGATGTGGCCGTCCTGCTCATGGACACCCAGGGGGCCTGGGATGCCAAAATGAGCAAGGATGGGGGCAGCATCAGAAACGAGTAGAAACAGCAAGCGGTGTTGGCTCGCGGTTCAGGTCTAGCCTGTATGCAACAAGCGCCCAGATAGGGTTGGTGCTCTTGGCGATCGGGCCTTGCATTTTTGGCATACTTATGAAGTTCGACTACTCAGCCCGCAGCTTCGGGTTCGAGGCATAGCGGAGGATTGGCTTGAGGATCGGGTAATCTGTATGTCCGGCCGGTGCCCACAGCCCTGGAACCCTCCACACACTCTCTTGCGTAGTGTTAAATGCTTGGCCTTGCGACCAGCTTAAGTTGCCATGAGCAGATTCAGTGTGAAACTCAGAACCACAGGTGCGACAAGCCAGAACCTCTTGAACCCGAAGCTCCTAAGCCTAGGAATCAAGAACCCCCGGCTACTGAAACTACCATCCTCAACCTCATGGCGGCAAATTGCGCAAACCCCAAACACCAAACCCAGCCCTAAACTTTTCGAGAATTTGTGCATGCGTTGAGTGAGTGCGCGAGTCAAAGCCGTGAACCTTTAGACCCTAAGCCGCCAAGCACTGATATAGTGGCCTTAATAATTAGAACATGGTTTTCAACCTTTTATATTATAGATATAATTATATAGTCATAACAAGGCACCCTCAAAATAGTATAGGTAATCATTTAGGCCCCGATATTTCAACCCTTAAGCCGCAAAGCCCTAAAGCCTGAACCCTACTTGGAGGGTCGGGGGACTCAGTAAATTGTTATTTAGGGACTTATCAGTACCATAAACCCAATTAGGGTCCCTTATAAGTCTACTCACTAACTACTTACTAAGTCCCTTAACCCTAAACCCCAAACCCTAGACTACCCTTTAGAGCCCTTTAAAGGAACTCTTAGAATCCCCTTTAAAGGACCTTACTAAGTCCCCCGACCCCTCAAGTAAAGCCTAAGCAGGAGCAGAGCGCCACGGTGTTTGGCCTCACCACTTTGCTGGCCTCACGCCTTGTCTACAACGAACCTCAGATCTGTTTCAGCTTTTGGGAATTTCAAGGTTCCATGTTGGGGTTTAGGTTTTGGGGCTTGAGAGAGGGATTAGGGTTTCGGGTGCGGTTGTTCAGGCGGCGATGGGCCTTTTGAGCTTAGGTTTAGTACGGTTCATTGGCAGCGTTCAGGGCGATATAGGAGTCGGAAGAATCAGAAGTCGAGTCCCCCCTAGAGTCTCAGGAGAAGTATAGTACGATACACCGAACAACCCTATCATAGCTATCGAGGCTCCGGTCAACTGGCTTCTTGCCAAGGGATTTAAGTTTAGTTTAGGCTACTATAATAAGGAAACCATTTTGCTTACTATAGATCACGATTGTGGTAACTTAAACCTTATAAACCCTAAACCTTAAAGGAACCCTTGTAGATCCCTTAAACCATTCTATTTACGATAGATTCCTATTATGGGAACTTAAATAAATTCCTGAAGAAGAACCCAGTCAAAGCCTCCACCGTCCTCCGAGGTCTCGAAGCAGATTCAGCAGGACAAGATCGAGAACCTGCCATGCTCTCAGAAGCCTTCGGCTTAGGGCTCTCTGGGGTTTTTGTTGATTTTGAGGGTGTCGGCCCATCCGCGCCACTGACCTCCTTTCAATCTCTGTATAGAATGGTTTTAAACAAATCCTGAACCCTAAAGGCTTTAGCTCCCAGCTTTCACCAGAAACGCCCATCAAAGCCGTGCAGATGTCACTGTTAAATACAACCGGCCAGAAGAGACAGGCTGGAAAAGAAAACGGGTAGACCAGCAGCAGAAGAAGCCAAACCTAAACCATGTCATTGATCATGGTTCATGACTCCTGGTCATAGTGCCCAAAAGAATGCTGAACTGCACCGAAACGTCAACTTTGCATTGACAAAAAAGCCAAGCCAAGAACCCCTCCTTGCAGGCTTTACTTCACGGACTTCGCGCGTGCAGCCTTGAGAGCACAAAAGCTGTCGGCACAGCCTGATGGCAAAGATGCTCGGTACGAAGCATCATCCAAATCGGGGTTTCCGAAAATCGGGATCCTAATACAGTTCCTTAAATACTATGATCCTTATTATAAGAAGCCCAAATGAAGGTACGCTACCCTAAACCCTAAACCGTGTTTTCGAAAACCCAGAAACCCTACAGCCCTGGACTTGGTTCTCAGGATTCACGGCA